CATTTTTTTTTTTTTTTGCGTTTTTTATTTTCAGCTGGAGTCAGATAAACGAAGTTCCAGGGCCACTTCAGTCTCAGCAAATATTTCAGACCCATGCCACCGCGCCAGAGTGCCTAGAAGCTGGAGCTAGCAGGAACCCATAGTTGGGCGGCCAAGCTGAGAGTAACTGCCCGCCAGCTGCAGCTCCCAGATGCCCAGGGTTCCTGCTTTGAGCTTCGACAGCTGAGCCACACTTAGCTGCTTTTTCAGCAAAGACCGGCGATAGACTTGTGGATTTCTAATTTACGTGTGAACGCACAGGATGGACCAGACCACATAGAAAAGCGAACTCCTGTGATCTCTGGGATTGCATTCAGCAGCATGTCCCCTTGAACCTCTCTGCGAGTGGGTAGGGAAAGTGTCCCCAGCAGTCCAGAGCGCCCCTGGCCATGTCACCCTTAATGCTCTATGAATTAGTGTGGCCCTCTGAGGGTTCCCAGGGCTGCCGAGGGTGGTTTCCAACAGGTGTGTTCTCTCCCTCCCCCAGCCCAACCCGGTTGGCCAGATTCCCCCAAGCTGAGGTCTTTTGACTTGGCTTCCTCACTCCCACCTCTGCCCCCCACCCCCCACCAGAGGGTGGCTGTCCAGAGCCGGACCTTTGTCCCCACTGCCTGGGACCATGGTGCTTCTCGCTGAAAATGCTTCGGAAGGCTCCAACTGCACCCACCCACCAGCACCAGTGAACATTTCTAAGGCTATTCTGCTCGGGGTGATCTTGGGGGGACTCATCATCTTCGGGGTGCTGGGGAACATCTTAGTGATCCTCTCGGTGGCCTGTCATCGGCATCTGCACTCGGTGACTCATTACTACATCGTCAACCTGGCGGTGGCAGACCTTCTCCTCACCTCCACCGTGCTGCCCTTCTCGGCCATCTTTGAGATCCTGGGCTACTGGGCCTTTGGCAGGGTCTTCTGCAACATCTGGGCTGCTGTGGACGTCCTGTGTTGCACAGCGTCCATCATGGGTCTCTGTATCATCTCCATCGACCGATACATCGGTGTGAGCTACCCCCTGCGCTACCCAACTATTGTCACCCAGAGGAGGGGCGTCAGGGCTCTGCTCTGTGTCTGGGCGCTCTCCCTGGTTATCTCCATCGGACCCTTGTTCGGCTGGAGGCAGCCGGCGCCTGAGGATGAGACCATCTGCCAGATCAACGAGGAGCCTGGCTACGTGCTGTTCTCCGCGCTGGGCTCTTTCTACGTGCCACTGGCCATCATCCTGGTTATGTACTGTCGAGTCTATGTGGTGGCCAAGAGGGAAAGTCGGGGCCTCAAGTCTGGCCTCAAGACGGACAAGTCAGACTCGGAGCAAGTGACGCTCCGTATCCACCGGAAAAACGTCCCGGCAGGAGGTGGTGGGGTGAACAGTGCCAAGAATAAGACTCACTTTTCCGTGAGGCTCCTCAAGTTTTCCCGAGAGAAGAAAGCGGCCAAGACTCTGGGCATCGTGGTGGGCTGCTTCGTGCTCTGCTGGCTGCCTTTCTTCCTAGTGATGCCCATCGGTGAGTGTTCTCAGCACCATTGCTTAACATTTACGGGGAGGGGAGTCTCCGTGGAAGGGGGCAGGGTCTGCATGGCAAAGAGCACAGGACTCCCTGGTGGGAATTAGCCTTTTCTCTCTTTCTTTTCCAGTCTCCTTTGCACTGGTCCTTTGTCAGCTGCAGTAAAGAAGGCTCTTGGTGGCTACAGATTCATTGGTCTCTTTAGGGAGAGTGTCAAATTTTCTTAATGCCTTTAAGCCTGTTTAGTTTAAATCTACTCTCTCACTCCATTTAGAGTCCCCAAAGCAGACTGCTGAATACTACTTGTGCTCTGCTATGGGTAGGGAAGACAGTCCTATTGGTTTGAAAATAACCACCATGCTTATTCTGGACAAATGTGTGACAGTCTGCTTGGGTTAGATGCTTCATTCCATTGTGTTAGTTATAGTGTGTGCTTAGGCTCTGTCAGCTAACCTTTGCTGAATTCATTGTGGAAGAGAATATAGCAAACCACTCATGACAACAGAAATAGGGTTTTGTTTGTTTTATTTTACATCAAAACCAACTAAAAATTAAATTAAATTAAAGAATCTATCATAACAATTCCAGTAAGCAAATACTCTTTCATTTTTAGCAGCCGAGTTGGAAAACAGACATCACTCTTATTCAAAGTCATCCCGGAAGTTGCACATGACAGCTTGAAAACAGTGCAATAATATTGCAAATCCAATTTTTTGCAGATGCAAACTTAGCTGTTGTCAAAATTAATTAGCTCATCCTAAGTATCAACAAGCTGATCCACTCTAAACAGTCCCCTGTCTCCGAACGGCCTTCGATGCAATCCCAAAGTACTTCTTTGCTATTTTTAGTTTGTAAGCTAAAACACAGACTCACAGGCTGGTTACCACGAACTCTAACAAACACAAAATCATAGCAAAGAACGATAATAACACAATCCCTCTAAAGTTCCTTTGAGGCCAGTATCAATTACAGTACCATACTTTGCAACTCTGCTTCAGAATAATAATAGGTCTAGTTCTTGAGTGCCAACTGTGCCCAAATGTTGATCAGGCTTTTTCAACAACTATCATCCTGCCACCACAGGTGGAAGAAAGACACTTTTCGATGTGTCTTTTTTTCAATGTGTGGCTAATGATACAGCCATCAGCCACATGTAGCTGTTTAAATGTGGATCAAAATTAAGTTATAGCCAAATTCCATCTCTCAATCCCACTAGCCACTTCTCAAGTGCTCAACGACCAGCTACATCTTTGAGACAGTGGGGACACAGGTGATTTCTACTACTCTGGGATTTCTGTAGAACAGGGCTACAAGAGAGGATGACTTGCCGCATGGCCTTCTTTGTGTCTGCCTGTCACTGTCCCTAACCCTTCTCCTGGAAGGACACTGGAACTTTGCATTTACTGGAGAATATTCTTTAGCCTCTCTGCTTCTCTCCCCTCATTCCTCCTCTTTCTGCCTCCCAGAGAGAACACTATTATAGTTGCATCCGTTCACTCTACAAATGTTCGCTGAACCCTTGTTTTAGCCACCAAGAGTAAACAAGGCACAAAGTCCTTCCCCATGAAATAGGCATGTGCAATATGCCCTAAAATGTTAAGAAGTAAGACGTACTATCAGAGAGCAAGCAGACTGAGACGCCAGGTAGCATAAAGATGATGGAAACAGGTGGTCAGAGAAGTTCTATGCAGCATAGAAACATTCAAACAGAGCGCTGACCCAACTAAGCCTGTAAAATCCGGAAGGAGGGGTGGACTGGCAGAGGGAACAGTGGGTACAGAGATGAGAAAGCCTCATCTGCTCAAGCAAGGGCCAGAGGCAAGGGCGAAAGAGGCTGACAGCATATAGGTCATGTCACGTGGCGGGGGGATGGTCAAGTAAAATTTGGAGACTTGTCTGCTTGTGGTTGAAGTCATTGGGGAGTTTGTTAGCAACTGAGTGGCTCATCTTTATATTTTGTAATGATTACTGTCATAGCTGGGTGGAGAACGGCTGATTGCAAGAGTAGAAACAAGGAGGCTAGCTAGGAGACCTTAGAAAGTTCTAGGAGAGAGGTCATGAGGCCTTGGACTCTGTTGCACTGTGCAAGTGGAGGCAGTGAGGAGCAAGCACACTGGACACTTCCTTCAAAGGCAGAACTGACAAATTTGAACCTGGGGAGGAGAAAAAAAATCAAGTGTAATTTCTAGTTCAGAACCTGAATAACTGGGTAAATGGTGGTATATTTGACAGAGATGGGAGAGAGAGAGAGAGAGAGAGAGAGAGAGAGAGAGAGAGGGAGCTAGGAGGAGCTGGAGAAGGTGGGCCATCAGAACATTGCTTTCCTACTATGCTGGAAATGTCTGTTAGACATCTGAGTGTCTGCCAGGTAGGTAGTGGATGTGGGAACTTGGGGTTTTCAGGGGACATGGGCTAAGAGTAAAATCTTAGATGCATCTATGTGTACATAAAGAGGCATAGAGAAGAGGCCAGAAAGAAGGCATCCAGAGAAAAGACAGAGAAGAACCAAGTCTCAGAGGTGTCAGGTCGGGAAGAGAGCAGACAGGAGAGAGGATGAGGGTAGCACACAAGGTAGGAGGAAATTTAGGAGAATGTGGAGTCCCCAAGGCAGAAGATAAATGTTTAAAAACAAGAATAGTCTGGCCTACAGAGTGAGTTCGAGGACAGCCAGGGCTGTTACAGGGAAACTACCTCAAACAAACAAATAAACCACCACCGACAACAAGAACAAAAGACAAGAATAGTCAATTGTGTCACACACAGCTCCTGGGTAGAGCAAATGGAGGACTGAACACCAGCAGTGGCCTTGATGACGAGGTGGTCCCAAATGACAGACATTGGCCAGCTTAGGCTGAAAGCTTCTGTAAATTGATGGAAACAAAAACCCAATTGTTCATCTTCGAGGAAGAATGGAAGGTCAAGAGGGATGAGGGCAAAAAGACTATTCGTGGGAAGATTTAGGGAAAGGGGAGCTTAGAATGAGTGTTTTTTGAGAGATCCAGAGACAATTCTCAAAGGTGGAAGACAGGTCATGGTGTTTATATTCTGATGGGAAAGATCAGATAGAGCAGGACAACAAAGGAATAGGCAAGAGCAGAGAGAAGTGTCCAGGGGAAGGAAGTGACATAGCAAGAAGGAGTAAAGGAGAGCATTAGTGATCTCTTCATAATGCTTCAGTGTCCCCAGTGAGCTAAGAAGCAGAGAGGGGAAGGAATAAGGAATGTGTCTGCTGAGAAGCAAAGAAAAGACATGAAATATCTTAGGAATGAGAGTCTGTACATTATGAAAATTTAGTCAAGACACTAAAGTCCCAGGGGCCTATGAGCTTGAATATGAAACAGATCAGGGAAGAAGGCCACACGATGCTCTCCCAAAGCTAAGTGGCTGAGGGCTACAGGGGTGTAGCTGAGGATAGATAGGAGATCTAGGAAATGGAGTAGAGAGAGCTCATGAGGGATGGGCATGGACTGAGTCAGATCACAGCCCTCACGGAGAAGATGGTGAAAAGAGTCAGCGATGATGGACACCTGGGACCTCAGGATTGTGTTAGTGACGGGGGCTATAAAGGACATGGGGCTTAATGATCCAGGCCCTGGTGCCCTGAAAGGCAGGGGGCTGCGGGAGACTTTGTAGAGTATTCCATTCTCAAGGAGTTGATAATGCTTGGGTAAGCATGCTGTGACAGAGGTACTTGTGATTTCAAAAAAAAAATAAGAAATAAAAAGACACAAAGTCAAGACAAAAAGTGAAACCTATAGTTAATAGGGTGTCAGAAGACTTCTCAGTGAAGCAGAGGCCCTAAACTCACCAATATGTGATTGGCAATTTCCTCTTAACACCAAAGGAATATGAGGATGTTTCTCCCAGGAGATATGGACTGGTGATAAGTCCCAAATACCAAAGCAGAAAGAATAGAAAGATGTGTATAGCATGTCCTTGCTTTCCAGGGCCTGGCAAGCTAATTAAAGAGGCAAAGTGGGTAATTGATATGGGCCCAGAGACCAACGCTCAAACAGTATTAAGACCTCGTGCTGAGGAATATAGCAGTTGTATTCATCTGGAAGTCACTGTAGAAGCTTCTAGAATACCACTGCTAATGGAGCAGTTTCTTAAGACAGCACTATTTCAGCTGGGCCATCAGTGAGATGTTATTTGTTTTCATTAGCAGCCTTAAGTGCATTTTTCACACAAGATGTGAACAGTAAAATAAATTTGCCATTATGTTATCAACTCCCAAGAGACAAGATCATCATCAATCTGCACTAGGCAACATGGGAGTGAAAAGATTAGAAACAACACTGCAGCCAGTAGGAGGGGGTTGTGCCAAGCTGAGAAGTGAAGCATCCACGTGCAAGCTGTCTAAGGAAAACCAAATGAGCAGATTCCATTTCATCACCAAAGGTTCCTGACCACTGAGGTGTGATGGCTCACACCTGTGATCTCAAGCACTTGACACCCTCCCCTATACTACACTACACTCAAACTATAGTGCATTAGAGAACAGCCTGGAGAAAGCTTTTCATGCTGATATTGCTAGGACAAGCCCCTTTCCCCCAAGCTTCTCCCCACCCAGCCTGGCGTGCATGCTGGATTGAGTAGTGTAGGTGAGAATCCAACTGATTTCAAACCTAAGTCTTGCTTGTTCTGTTTCCTTTTTGCAAGCTGATTGTTTGGTTGAGACTCAACTGAGGGAGGTCACACTGGAGGCTACTATCAGCCATTCTGACACTGCAGTGACAGCTTGTAAAACAAAAAAAGAGAGAGAGTCTGTGTGGATGATAGAGATGAGTGGCGAGTCTTGGAAGGTGTCAGCCTTCAACTGTGGAAAGGAAGAAGGCTGGAGATTGTCCCCTAGGGAAGGTCCAGCATTGGCATGATATCATCTTTGGTATTTGACCCCTTGTCCGTCGCCTAATACTTCCTGAACCCTGGGATTTAGCTCCCTTTTTCATAAAACAGTGGAGGCCATATAAGTCAGCTTTCCCTGTAGTGCCTAGCTC